TTTCTATAGCATCATCATCTCTCACATCCAACCGTTGTTTGACTCAAAGAAACCACGTACTTTCTCATGCTCACAAAATTGATCACCAAATCATCCCTCTCATGATCAAAACCGGTCTCTGTGAAGAACATTTTTTCAAAACAAAGCTCGTCAGCTAGTTTCGGTGGTGATGGAATGACGACATGGTGGTGTTGGTGAAGCTCTTGGTGATTGAGGAGAAAAGCGGGGTGGGAGGTGAAAGGTGGGCGATGAGGTATTTATTTTCTTCTTTTTCTTTTCCTTTTACATTTTATAATACTACTATATATATATATATATATATAGTATATAATATATTTGTTAATTTTTTGATAGAACATTAAGAAAATGAGTAAAATGACCAAAATATCTCAATTTAACTAAACTTAGAAAACGTTAATGACCGTTAGATGGAGAGACAAAATTCACCGGGAATAAACAAACATGAGGGACGGAAACCGATTAAATGAAATATAGGAACAAGAATGTTAAAGTAGATAAACGTTAAAATCGAAAAACGAACTTCACTAAAATATTACAAACAAGAATTACATATTTCATTTTGTTATCATTATTACATTTTGCATTATGCAATTGCGTGGGAGTACTATTCTTGGATCGATATCTATGTACTAGCAATTACAACTTGAAAAATAACTCCCGCCCCCCTCCTGCTAGCTCTTCCCCTGCTAGCTCCCCCCTAGTTTCTAATCCCCCCGGACGGGTTTACCCTCTACTTCTAGACCTGTCTCTCTTCCTTATCATCACCATTCCAAACCATCTAACCCTCCACTTCCCCCCCCCCCCCGAAATAAAGCCAAGGCTCCTCTTTCTTCTTCCAACCAGTTTTCTATTCTTGCTGACTCTTCTCAATCTTCTGAGCCTGGGTCCTCCCCCTCCTTCCCCCTTGCCCCTTCTGAGATCGAGAATGATCCTCTTGATCAGAATGACCTCCTTGATGAGGATGATGTGATTGAGGTTGAGTCGGATAATGAAGAAACTGCAAGATTTATTACCAATGATATCACTCCCTCACATGTTGATCCAAAGACGTCTCAGGAATCTGAGCAGATGGTTTAGGGTGGCTCTCTTGGTCGTTGTCTTGTTTGCCTCTCTTGGTCGTTGCATGCTGCTGTGTGTGCTTCTCTTTTGGTTTGGTCTAAGATGAGTCTGTTTTAGGCACCTTCTCCTTTCCTTTGTTGTTTCCCCGTTGGTTGCCCAGGTCTTGCCTACCTGGGCCCTTCCCTTGTGGTTGGCTTTCTTTCTCTCCCTCCTTTTCTCTCGGGGCTCCTTGGCTTTTTCTGGTGGATGTGGTTCGCCCCCCACCAGAGTGCATATTTGTCTTGCATTTTTGGTTTTTTTGCTTGATAGGAGGGGTCTCCCCCCTCCATATTAAAAAAAATAACTAATTAAAAAAATATTTTAATCTAAATTACGAGTTAAAAGTTACGGTTCTTAAGAATTACAATGACGATCATTTACAGACATTTGGATCACCCAATTTTCTATCATACTGATCTTGAGAAAATAAATAATTTAAAAAATTATCTCGATTCAAATTAGGATTCAAAAGTTACGACTTACAAAATTTACTACGAATTTGGTTATGAATATGATCATGAAATAGTTACTAACAAAATTACATAATGGTTATGAATGTCCAGATCTCCAAGTTTTATCAACATGTAGATCTTGAAAAAAAAAGTTTAAAATAAATTCACATTGATCCAAGTTACAAGTTAAAAGTTATAGTTTCCCGAAGTTTACTACAAATACGACACCGAAATGGTTATGGATATCTCCATACCCAAATTTTATTAGCATGTAGATCTTGAAATTAAGCTACTTGAAATATAAAAAAATTGTCTCGATCCGAGTTACGAATCAAAATGTATGGCATGAATTCTACAACACGTGATTACGAAATGATTACAAGTATATTATGAAATGGTTTATGAACATCAGGATCACCAAATTTTCTAGCTTGTAGAAGTTGAAACAACAAGGAACTTAAAAAAGCCAACTCGACCCATGTTACAAGTCAAAGATCATGTCATCCTGAAGTTTAGCATGAATATAATTATGAAATGGTTAAACTTTTGGAACCCTAGTTTTATCACCGTGTAGATATCGGAAAAAGAAGCAACTTTAAAAACATCATCTTGATCTAAGTGACTAACAAAAAATTATGACCTACCAGAGTTATCTACAAATATGATTACGAAATGGTCCTGAACATATTACGAACGTTTGGATATCCAAATTTTATGAACGAGCATATCTTAAGAAAGATAAATAGTTTAAAAAAGTCATATCGATCCGAGTTAGAAGTCAAAGTTAAGGCTTCTTGAAGTTTACAACAAAAATGATTACCAAGTAGTTACAAACATATTAGAAAATGGTTATGAGAATTTGGTTTAGCACTCCAAAAGGATTGTGACGTAGTGGTTGAGGTCCAAGAGGATGTGGTCACAAAATTTATTATGACTAGTGGTTGAGGCTAGAGGTGATCCTTTGCGGGTTGGGCTGGGTCTAACCATTTTTTTTTTGTCTAACGGACCTAATATTGCAAACTCAAGCCCTTTTTCTGGCCTGACAACTTGCCATTGTCTGCCCTATAAACGGGTCGGGCTTGTCCACAGGCTAACAACCCTAAAAAGTGTAAGTTCTATAAATCTATGAACTTGATCATTAGCAATTAGTTAACAAATATGGAACCAAAAAGTAAAGGTAAAACAATGTTGCAATTAAAATTTTAAGCAACTAAAGTGACACATAGATGTCAAAAAGTGGAGAAAGAAATGAAAAACAAACAACCCCTTAGCCTTTTGAGTTCTCAAGAATAACCAAAATAGTCTCATCCTATAACTTTAATAGTTTAATTTTAAAATATATACTAGTATAATTTTAATTAAAGATAGAAAATATTAATTATAAAATATAAACGGATTGGGCGTGCCTATCCATATTTATTTTAAATTGCCCATGCCCACCCATTAATTTTAACGAACAAACCCGGGTTGATCTCGATAATGGTTGTCCAAGTCCGTATTTTTTGCGGGTCGGATGAGCCGGGTCTAACGGACCTAATTTGTTTTTTCTAATAGTTGTATTAAAATATATTATTATTTAATTAAATCGTGATAATTATTTGGGTTAAAGTTTTGATTTTTCGAATATTGAAATTAAATTAATCAAATTTAGATAATCAAATAACAAATAGTTATAAAATTATTGATTGGTGAGATAAACTAAAATGAACCAAATTTAAAAATGGCAATATACTCTATACTTATCATAGACAATTAGTGAGAGTCTCATATCTATACTATATTATAATATATTTGACAAAAAATTTTAAAAACCATTTTTTATGTATGAAATACTATTTATTGATTCATATTACTTAAAAATCAATATTACAAATAAACTCTGCGTAAGTATAATTTATTAAAGATTTATGTTCGAAATCGTATAAATAACTGCAGATAAACATAGTCAAATATAAGATAAACATTTCATTTTAAATATAAAAAATCTAAAATATAATTAAGATAATCATTAAGTTCTAATAGAATACTTAATTATTATCCTTATAAAAAATTATATTATTAAATAAAAAATAAATTACTTTGTTATTAAATATAAATTAAATTATAATAAAAAATTGAATTAAGACATTACACAAAAAACAAGAACTTTTAAATAGTTAATTTGATACTAATATTGATATATTTATTTTCGAAATTTTATGATATCTTCAAATTTAGATTTTATTCAAAAATAAAAACATTATCTGTTTCTCAAAACCACATAAAGGTCATATTATAACATCTACGTATATATCTTGCTGCATTGCACGAGTACCCTTCTAGTTAACATTAAATATATGTGAAAGGGTAAAAAATAAAAAGGTTAGATGAAATTTTACATGTGAATTATTGAAAAAACAATTCAAAGATTTATAAATATTAACTTAGGAGTTGTTTGTTTACCTCTAACAGTTCCATTAAGAGACGATATTTTAATCGTTAAATGAATAACTTTTAACGTTGGTGCATATATGTATTTTTAAATAAATTTTTCAATGTTTCACATACACACATTTCATTCTTACCTTCTTAACAATATTTAACATTTTTATTTACACCAATCCTAAAAACTAATTATCTTATTATCATATTTCAAGTTACAATGATTATTTAATGTGCGTGCTTTGAGCCCATTTACTAAATACATTTTAAGAAAATGCAACTCTCTTTTCTAAGAAACATAGGGACCGTTTACTAAATACTTACCCGATAAATGTGGATCGGGTAACTTTCCTCACGTGATGCACATGGTAAGGGCTGAAAATCTTACCCGGTAAGAGCGATGATAGGGATAGAGAGTCTTACCCGGTAAGTGATGGTGATGACTCTTACCCGGGTAAGCGTTTATCAAGTAAATTGTTGCATACAATACCGTTTTAATATACTACAATCTTATCTGGTAAAATAAATTATAGTGTTGCTTCCTACCAGTAAATACTTACCGGGTAAGTATTTGGGTAGACGGCCCCTTAATTTCCGAAGACAATCGTGGCACATAAATGACTGGACCTCATTTATATACTAGGACAAAAATTGATTACCGACAATTCAAATTAGACCTTAAAAACCCCATTTCTAGAAACACTATTTTGAAAATTACATTTAAATGTAAGTTGAAAAATTACATATAAATATAACTTTATATATATATATCTAATTCTTTAGGATATATAGAAAGTTATCGTTCTTAAAAGTAAAAGATAAATACTGCAATGAGTCAACATTGGAATGCAGAATATTTGCCATTTTCTTGACTATGCAACATTATCAACATTTTTCTTCATCACTGTGAAACATATCAACATTTTGCTAACCCTAACCTTGCTTTTTTTCAAACCCTCTAACCCTATAAATACCATTATGTTCACTCATATTTCATTACAACATCGGGTTTTTTCCTATATCTTTCTTTAAAAAAAAATAGTTGATAATGGCTGTTGTTACTATTGAGGTTGAGGTCACTTCTTCACTTCCAGCTCCTAAGCTTTTTAAGGTCTTTAGCCACTTTGACACCATTGCACCTAAGGTTGAACCTGAAACTTTCAAGACCGTCAGTGTCATCCAAGGTGATGGTGGTGTTGGAAGCATCAAGAACATTACATACGGCGATGGTAATTAAGTACCTTTGCATAAATTGTTTTTGTTTTATGTTCAACTTGATGGATTTAAAACTACATGAGTCATTAAAGTTATAATTGTTTTACCATTTTCATTCCCTAATTTTCTATAACACATGTATAGGTGTTCCATACACAACTTCAAAGCACACTGTTGATGCCATTGACTCAAGCAACCTTAGCCTTAGCTACACGGTCTTTGAAGGCGACGCGTTGTTGGGTATAATAGACTCAGCCACTCATCATATTAAGTTTATTCCTTCTTCTGATGGAGGATCCATATACAAGCACGCAGTTGTGTGTAAATGCAAAGGTGATGCTAAGCTAACTGAAGATACACCCAAGTTATTCAAAGAAGCATTAAAGAAGACCTTTAAGGCAATCGAGTCCTATGCCATTGCTCATCCTGACGAAGCTTACTAATTCAACTCGAATCAACATGTTTTGTTTCAATAAGAAAAAGCTCTGGTTAGTGTGTGCTTAAAAGAGAGAGAGCAAGAGAAGTAAATGGTTTCATTTGCTTGTTTTGCTCTCTTAAATAAATGGACTTCTGTCCAGTTATATCATCATTGTACTTTGTTTTCGTCTATAATGATTATGTATTGTGAGTTTTCTTATTACGATGCTATTTTCTTATTGGTTTTTCTTTAAAGAAGCCTTGAGAACTTGTCAAACCAACAACTTAATTTGTATGAATCATGAAAATGTGAATGCTTAGGTTTTCTACGTTTCACGAGAAAAAATGAATGTTAATTTGATGAATCTTATAAGTAAGATTTAAAATGCATATATGAAGATTCTCACACTTACAAACTTCTTTGATAAGAAAAAAGATTATGAGTTCAAAAAAGTTCTTTAATTCTTATTGAAATGAAAATGCTTTTTTAAAGCTAAATGGAAGTTGCGACCATATAGCACAGCTAGCCCTTAATCGATAAGCCATTTCAGAAACACACGGTCTAACCTCCTCTTCCAGTATGCTAAAAGGTGGTTTTTGCCAAACCTGAACGAGTCACCCTCTAATATAAAAAAACACAAAGACCATGTTGTCGTCTCTAAAACTAACTTTTTTAGTAAACCTTCATGTCTGAAGAAATACACCACCAATCAACCACTATTGCCCACCACCCACCAGTGTTAAACATTAAAGACATCCAACATTCTTAATTCTAAGATATTTACAAGAAAATACATTTAACAACTAAAAGATCACCAAACATTGGTCCATCAAATACATAAGTTCTGCATCAATATTTTTTTACAACATAAACTCAAAAATTAACAACCAGATCGAATGAGATGAGTTATACAAATCCTTTTATATATATATATATATATATATATATATATTTTTTTTTTTTTT